AATAAGGGATGCAATACAGTGTCAAAAAATTGTTAATAATTTGACAAAGAATTAAGACTTCATCAAGTAGTTCATTACTATAGCATACCAGTAATCAAACAATAAATTTAAAAAATACATACAGTTCCAGAAAGGACATCATGGGGGCAACAGTTGAGAAGGTGACTCTTGCATACTCTGTCATCACTGAATTTGATTCGCTGACGAGTAGTATCTCCTGTAATATAGAAAAGTTAATAACATTCAAGGTTAGACAACCGGAAAGTATTTATTTTCTGAGAGCCCTACCACCACTAGCTGTTTATGTGTGGCTATATACACACACATTTATAAATCAGCCCAAGAGGGATTAGTTTTTTATATAACATCCTATAGAAAAACTATTTTAGACAACATGCAGTTGCAGTAAGTATACTGCACATGTAATTCAAATAGTCAAAGTGGGAAAGCAATGCATTCTGTTAAATACAGTACTTCAGAAAAGCATAGTGTTTTAGAGCAGGAATGGACCTTAAAGATTATGGAGTCCAACTCCTTCATACTGCAGATGAGAAAACTAAGGCCCCAAGAGGTTAAGCGACTTGCAGCAGACCCACTAGGAGAGTTTCTACTGGTATACAATGTTCCCTTCTCGATAAGCATTGATATATTTTGTAATTGTTTACAGTAACTGAAAAACATAAAAAGTAATCTTGCAAACATTGCATACACACTGCGAATCCCCACTGAACCCCAGACGCCATTTCTTCCACTATTTTGTTCCAGCTGAAGTGTCTCCCTTTTTGCTGCTGGGAGGAGTTAGAGAGGGTAGAATAACGCGTTTAAGAGCGCACAAACCTGGAAGAAGGACTTACACACCAGTCAAACAAAGGCACATTGCCTAAATGAAACGTTAACTTTAATGCCTCCAAAGGTTCCACATCTCCAAGTTTTATGTAGTCTGTGCTATATATTGCCAAACTGGGTACATTTAAATTCATTCTGTCTTCACATAACACAATACACCTCCTAAACAACTGAAGCATCCAACTTGCTTATCAAATATGGCTATCTACTCAAAACTTTAAAGAGTCTAAGAAAAAGAAAAGTAACTAGAACTAATAACAAAATACTGAAGTTAGTTATAATTTTTTTGCTTAGAATCTCTTTGGAAAAACAAAAGAAAAACTCAAAGGACGTTTCCTCTTTCTATATAGAATAAGCCCTAAGAAATGTAGGTGTTTTATTTTAGCCTTAAATTGATATCATCAATGATGAATGAAAACCTACTGGTGAATTACTGAAGCGAGAACTATTGGTACCAAAAGATACTATAAATACCTTTGTAGCTCATGTACTTCACATGATGCCTGCAGCACCCCAAAAACTTTCATCTAGGGAGTGATTCAATCATTTAAATTAGTTTCTGTGTTTCCACATGTGAATAACAAAAAAAGTTAAAACTTTACCCCTTCATGTGGTCTTACATTGAAGAGCTTAACTTGAATTCAACTAAATACTGTCATTTTTAGATGGGGTAAGATTTTGTTCAAATTGTTTTAACATGGTTAAAAAGATTTAAAGAACATTCTAATTTGTAACCAGGGTATATGAAGTTTTAAGAACAGTGATTTACAGCTAAAATGATAGCTTCAGAGCAGTTCAACAATAGGTTTTCTAGAGGATAGTCTCTAGTAGGTTATTTTTGACACAATTTGGAATAATCCATTTAGTGTTCACGCCTGCTACTATAATAAAGGTTATTTTGATGGTCCTTTCTTCCTTTTAAACACAACTGCTTTTGTTCCACATTTATTAACACATCTGAAAAGTTAGTGATAACTCACGGCTCGGCGAATGCGGGGCCTTTCTGACACTCCCTTGCAGAATGAAGTAGGCAGGCATAGATACATTGAACCTTTACAAATAAAACAAGGGGCCAGATTGTTCAGTTTGTATAGAATAGACTCTGCCAGCAATTTCAATACAGCATCTAGAAGTACATGTTGACTGTAAAGATTCTTGTGTATGAAAACAAAAGTGAACAAAATCGGGGTGTTTTCTTTTTTAAAATACTGACTTAACAAGTGTAACCCCAGATAAGAGTATGTCTGACCATAGGTAAAAGTCCAAGGCTGGAGCTCTGGAAAGTAGTCCTTGCGCCAACTGGGGTTTTAAAAAAAATGTCTCTTAAAAAAAGAATATTTCAAGATTTTGGTGAGGGCCTCAAGCTCTTGTTATAATGGTACTATGATAAGCTCACACCCAGAATAGCAATGCTGTATTAAAAGCTCTTTGCTTCCTAGCATATGAGAAAAAAAATTTGTTTTAAATCTGTACCCTAATTATGTGAAGGAATTTAAAAGATGACAAAATTTTAAAAGTTGAAAAAAAAAAAAAGAAAAAGAAAAACCCTTACATATCTACTAATAGTAGCCTCCCTGCTACAAGTATCTAAGCTTTATAATAATGCAACAGTGTATCATTTCAGTGCTTTGTTAAACTAACCACTCAGGCCTTCAAATAAAATCAAGATTCGTGGAAGTTTTTTTACTAACAAAATCTTTCATCAAGTCTAGTGACTGTTTTTGCTTAATATATCACATTAAATTTAAAATTAAGGCATATGTGTCCTGAAGACTATTAGGTAAAATATGAACAATTCCAAATACAAATATTGAAAACCAGCAAGTATTCCTGGTGACTTTTTTTTTTTTTTTTTTAATTTTTATGGATACATAATAGTTGTACATCTTTTCCCTGGTGAGCTTTTAAAAAAAGAATCAGTTTCTATAAATGCCAAAAAGCATTTAAAAATAACTCCTCACTGCAAATGAATGGGTGCTCCATAAATATTTGATAACTGTAGCAAACAACATCTATGGCTGTCAAATATCAGCTATTATAGCAATCTTTAAAACAATAAAATAATAAAATCCCTAATAATTTGAGATATGGAAATACCCTGAGAGGGAGTAACAACTAAGTATCTGTTTATTGATATTTTTAAACTTCTACTTAAAGGACTTTATTTTTTAAGGTTGACATTGTAAAACAATTTGGCTACATAATCATGCAGTATTTAATAAATTTATTTGGACTTATTCTATGAAAGTGCAATTTTGCTAAAGCAACAAAGAATTTTAAAATAAAAATACTGGTAATTTTGGTTTCTGTCAAGATATCTGGCCCAAACCATGTTTTTCAAAAGAAACTAGGTAAAACAGTGCCTATTTACAATAAAAAGAAAAGAAAAGATCACGAATAGGGAATATGAACCAATCTCCTTATAATTATTTTATGAGTTCAATGTACTTTACCTTTGGGTTTTGTGGGCACTCATAAAAATAACCTAAATTATGGGGAAAAAATTTGCCTGTTATAACACTGGATTCAAATCACAGAATCAAACCTATTAGTGACTATATCCTCTGTACTAGGCAATGGAGTTGCAAAGAGGCATATAAAACAAGCTTTCTACCCTCAAAAAGCCCAAAATTTTGCTAAAGAAATAAGTCATATAAACGAATAAGTAATAATACAAGATAACATGATCCAAGTGCCAAATAGGTGTTTCAATTAGGTAAGTACTTCAGGAATTCTAAGACTAGAACGACCACCAAGACTGGAGAGGTTGGGAAAGGCTTCATGCAATAAGTAGAAGCCAAAATTTAAAGGAAAGAAAGAACTTAGACTGAAGAAAAATAGAAAAAAGAACAGTCCAAACCAAATAAAGCTTACAGAGGTAGAAAGGTTTAGGGAACAGTAAGTAAACCATATTTGGCTTTGGCAAATGGCTTCATGTAAGGGAATAGCAAAGGTGGGGCCAGAATAACATATTTTGGGTAAAATTTGATTTCTTATTTTTTTTTCATTTTTTAATCTACATTTCTAGTGTATAGACAAAGTAAAAAAAAAAATTTAAAATAATGAAGCAGAGACTAGACCAAGTGATTTCAGTCAACAAAAATGTCATACCTGTAAAAACATGAAGGTCTCTCTACCTTATAACTTCCATAATAGTTAATTAAGCTTTGCATACAACTACACAGTCAAGTTTTTAGAATTAGAAACTTGATTTAGAACTTTGGCAGGTGAAGTGTTTTTCTTTTTGACAGAAGCATCAAATTTTCTATTAATATTTCCCACCAAACAACTATCTTCAAGGTAACAACCCTTTTACCCCTCTCTTTTGTTCGACCCTTTCATGAGTTTCATGAATTATAACATTTATTTGGAAACATCTGAGTCACAGGTAAACAATAAAAACTAGGATGCATACTATTCCTCTCTAGTTCCTTCACCAATGGTAACAGAGCCTAAGGAGGTACTGAGGTAGTCAGTTTCACTCAGGGAATATGGACAGGTCATTTTAAAAAGAGGGCTCCTGTCCAAACTGTACTCAAATACTGCTATTCTCAAAAACCCCTTCAATCTGTTAAGAGGGAAAAATAAGCCCATTGTAATTTCCAACACTGCCATTTTATGGTCCTCCCTTTTTCTAAAAGTGATTTAAATTTTAGTAGTAACAGTTAAAACCTTAGCCTAGGTGGTATCTGACATCATTTTATTAATATATATGGTGCATGCTATTTTCCCAATATCCACCCCTCCCCCGCCAGTGCTACCCACCCTCTCCCTCCCATACAAACAAGAAATCAAATCAACTTTCACAGATTTAGTTGCTATTTTAAAAACATCAAAATTTTACTTTACCCATTCTCTCCGATGCTCCCTGTATTTTTTAAGCTGTGAGTGGATGACCATGCTATGTGATCAACAACTGTGAAGGCTAAGCAAAAGTGAACTGAGTTTAGTATTGTAATTTCAAAAGAACCTTCAAGTTTGTAATATTTGACATATTGAATGGTACGCAGAATCCTATTTTACTGCATATTATCAGGCATTAATGGCAAGCAATTTACAAAAACAATCAGTATTTCTTTTGTACAGAATTAGCTTAGAGCTTAGCTTAGGGAAAACAAAGAGGGAGGAGAAAATGCAACAGCACACAGCAATGGAAGCATCCCCATGTCTATAAATGGGAGCAGGGGAGGGGAAGCCCTCCCATATTCTCCAGTGTGACAATCAAAACCCTCCCCACAGGTACAGCTGTTAGGGGCCCTGTGTCACAGGTGGCTTGAGACAGGGCAGGCCCCTTCCCTCTGAAAGATCCATAACACTTCAGTGAAAGGAAAGCAGATTTAGTAAGGTATAGAACTGAAAGCTTAAAATGTC